TAAATAATCGAGTCTGGACCTGACAATCCAGTGATCAACAGCATCGGAATCGATCTGTGGAATTGGGAACCTATAACATGTGTCAACCGAGTCAGCGAGCCTGACAAACCGATCCCGTTAGTCACCTTCTACGACAAGCATGGGTTACTTAAAATCAATATTCTAACCCGGATCTTCACGGGCCGTGGTTCAGCGACTGTGAGAAGGGCTATGTTACATACTATACACACGTGTTCACTAAATTTAAATTAAAATTCGGAATATCGCTTTCTATTATTATGAAGAAGTGTGGATTTTACAAAATCCGTTATTTCCTTCGCACTTTACCATCCAGTAACATCCGATGTGTATTTGTCAACCCCCATCCATTCGTCTATTGCAATGTTAGACTCACATTTCGTAAAACCATACCATTTTCGAAGAGATCGTCACGAAAGTTGGAAAACGGAGACTGCGTTTCTATAGACACGCTGGATTTTTACTTCTAAGTATAAATATGGTAATTCCCGTTCTCGGTGATTTACGTGTAGAGACACCAAACTGAAACTAGGCCACACGCAATTCAACGTCCGCTACTGAATCTGATGGGCGAGATGATTCGCCTCATCCAGTACGTAGCGAGTTTCAGGGAAGAGGCGGTAGGAGGGTGTTAGGGTGGTGGCGGAGGGAGGGAGGATAAGGAAGGGTCCTGAGATGGTGTAGTGGTGGGTAGAAGGGATGGGATGGTAGGTGGGGGGAGAGAGAGATCGGGTGGGGTGGGGGGTGTACATAGGTTGCGGAAACAGGACATAAAAGGCATTTCTATATATTTTACTTTATAAGGTTATTTTGGGTTTTTCCCTGTTATCTGAGCTAAATCGGTTTGACCTATCGTATAGTCTTGTTGTTATGTTAGGCTCATGCTATAAATGGTTCGTTTGTTGTTTTCTGTTGTTTTTCAAGCCACACAGCTAATTATGGGGATTTCGGTAGACTAACGCTTAGTCTCTGAATATGTATAATTTTGATTGTAACAAGTAAACCCATTTAAATTGAAAAGGATCCCCAGGGAGACCAGAGATTCAGACGCTGAGAAAATCTAGACTTGCTTCATTTGGGGCTTTAGCATGCAGGGAGGGCTTGGCTGTATGGAAAATAATATGGTTCAGGGACTGTGAGACAGACTAGGACCGATGGCCATGCAGGAACTGCAACCTATGCTTGACATATCAGTGAATGATGTCATATGCAACCTTTCACACCGCCGGTTCACAATGATAAGCTGCCAACACAGTCATCGAGGCTTAAACACACTATTAATCAGGTCACCTCGTCACAGCATTGATAAGGGGCGTCCCCACCCTGAGTACGAAACGTAAAAAAATACCCAAAAATCGGCTGTAAAACAAGTGTAAATACAATACCACTGTGATATCTAACGAGATCTTTTGTATATCAACCCGAGACGATCAGGGTGAGATCAGGTGTTCAAAAACCCTTAATTGTTTGTTGTTACAGGCGACTAACGGGATCGGATGGTCAGGCTCGCTGACTTGGTTGGCACATGTCATTGTATCCCATCTGAGCAGATCGATGCTATTGCTATTGGTCACTGGATTGTCTGGTCCACACTCCTCGAATATTTACAGACATGTGTGTGTGTGTGTGTGTGTGTGTGTGTGTGTGCCTCTATTCGTGTCACGCGTACTACAGAAGAAGAGAAGAAGATAAACTAAAATATATTGTTACATGCTCTACATATATCATAATGCCAATAGGATACAAATACAGAACAATTAAGCATCCGACCCTCAGCCCAACACGATATTACAAATTTAAATACATACCACAAGCCAAAATAAATAAATAAATAAATAAAAAAATAAAAAAATAAATAAATAAATAAATAAATAAATAAATAAATAAATAAATAAATAAATAAATAAATAAATAAATAAATAAATAAATAAATAAATTTACACCTGAATCAAGCAAAATAAATAAATAAATAAATAAATAAATAAATAAATAAATAAATAAATAAATAAATAAATAAATAAATAAATAAATGTACACCTGAATCAAGCCTATCAATATGGTTTAGTAGGCTCAAATGTTGTAAGGGATCAATCACTTCCTGACGTCCCCCGGATTAACCCACATTGACACAATAAACGTAGAACGAACAAAAAGAATGTACTGTACGCTGGTGACCCAAAACAGTCAATGCCGAGCTGATCACGAGGTGTTGAAATTTCGCGACCTTGAATGACTTGGTGTTCGGAGCGCCGAATTATCCAGGCGTGAGAGAAATCTATATTTAGAGCTGACGTCAAATCACTGCAATGACACGCGGATGTGAATTAATAATGATCATCCTTTCACTAAATACACATCCTGCTTCACGTTTTGCGCTGGGCTCTTCTCACACAGGATCCAGTGATCTATTTCAACGGTTACATATTACGTAGAGACCGTATATTGTATAGCGTATAAGTCATTCTTTATTCAATAATTTCAGCTTGTCAGACACTCAGGCACGGAGTTTACATAAGCTGCTTTTTACGGTGGTGAGAAGTGAAACCGACAGGAGACAAATTATTCCATGGTTTATTGATATGGGCAAAATATTAGACATCCAGAAGACCAATCTCACAAAGCCTAGCCTGTCAACGAACCGTCTTTCAAGTAGGTTTTCATAATACTAGTTTCATAATACTAATTGTGCTTGTTGGGACCATGAAATTATATCGAGATATCCGAAATATCGAGACATCCCTATCGAGTTAAAAGAGCTAGAATAATGATAAATTATGAAGGATTTTGCCGGGACCGAGATGTTATATCGAGACAACCGAGATATCGAGTTATCAGAGTTCGACACAACGGTCCTCGACTATATTTGGTGGTCGGGTCCAGTTTACAAGTGAATATGCCCGGCTGATATCATTGAGCTCAACAGGTGATGAGTTGGAGATTTTGTTTGTTTGTTGGCGTCGCAATCAGTAATATTCCAGCTATATGTCTGTAAATAATCGAGTACAATCCAATGATCAGCAGCATATCAACACTGATCTACGCAATTGGGATACGATGACGTGTCAACCAAGTCTGATAGTATGACTACAGGATGTCAGGATTCTACCTATGTTGACAAATATCTCTATGACAATAATCATTATGATAATGTTCTTGATAAACATAAATAATTTTCTGAATTTCATCTTCTTTTATTCTTTGATACAGCGTTTCAGGGCCTGTTCCGGCCCCATCACCAGGTAAAACTAAAGCAGCCTTCACACTGCAAACTACAGTTTGACAACACCTGTTGTCAACCTCGAGTTTGAGAGTGTGAACATTCCAACAACTCGCCACCAACACCAATTTTAGAGTTGTGAGACTGTTGTCGAGAAATAGGATCGGTCTCTATTCTCACCAACTTTTCCATGAAACTTTCGGTGTTGTCGGCCATAGATGGCCTTGACATTCAAGTGATCTGAGCAGATTCGCAGAAACGAAATTGGGCTATCCGATTGGTGGAAAATATAATATACTGTAAGATTTTGATTTTTATACTGTAAGATTTTGATTTTGCAATAATCCTATATTTTGGATGATGTATGGGGCAGTAAATTCTTAAGAATAGTTTTAGAGGTTGTAAAAATGCATTCGATATGATTCCTTTTTAGGAAATTATATATAAATATTTAACTTCTAAAATTATTCTTACAAATTTACTGCTCAGGTCACTTAAATGTCAAGGCCATCTATGGCCGACAAGTGAGTATGATTGCCGATATGGTTTTGGAGAAAATGTCTGCTTACTGTCGAGGAAATGATTTGTAGATGTTGCAATAAGTTTTAGACCCGTGGAATGGCGCTGCGGATCGAATCTAGCCCTACATAGGTGCTGTCAACGTGGCTGGAATTAATAAACGAATTTAAAAGGTGAGTTTTCGCTGTCTTGGGTGATCCATGATTTTGGCTTGGAATTGCGGAGTTTGCTGTTTTCGGTGAGTCGTGGCGTATAACTTTTGAAATAATGATCCTATTGTCACCATTTATAGCTCATTTTGTAGGGAAATCATCTCGCTTTTGATCCGTAGACCTCGACGGGGCCTTAAAAATAGTTTACGTGGTGAAATCTAACTTAGATTGAGGAGGGGGTGGTTCCGTCATTACATCCCTTTCCTTTTATATAGTACTAGGGTAGGGTCTATACACCTATATGTCTTTGTAACGCTATTTTTAAGCGTGACACGCCCCTGTGGATCCTATGTCGGTAAATAAGTACATCAGACATTAGTGGGAGACCACGTACGTTTGTCGCTAGAAGTGAATAACGGGATCGGGGGGTCAGGCTCGCTGACGTGGTGGGTGCATGCCATCGAATCCAAATTGCTACACCCACGCCCCCTAATTTATAAGCATAATTTTATAATATTTAAATGTACAAAATTACTGCCCCCTTTAGCATGTGTATAAAATTGATGACCCCTAACTCCCCAGAACAAAATGGGTGACCCCCTTTAATATTATCATACCCCACCCCCACCCCCACCCCCGCCATAAATTATGCACGGTCTCCTACAGATCACATTCAAATAGTGGAAATAGTGATCAACAAATAAACAAAGGAAACTCTTCGTTGGCTTCACTCATGTGAAATAGTGTGACGAAGTCAACTTGGTGTTGTTCGCGGTTCTGTATGAGTTGTTCATGTATAACACTCGACATCAACATTGAATTGTGAATTAATTCAATTACACAGTTTGTGCCACGTCATTAACTGATGTGGATTTTTTTCCGAATGATACTCCATACTTGTAGACACAATTATTAAAAAAACAAACTGGAATACGAATCAGGAACTTGTGCGCTGATCAAATTCCCCGGGGGTTTCTCCAGCGATGTGACCTACTTCGCAACACTCGTGATTCAACAGGTTTTGCCGCCCGGCCATTCAGGAGGCTAGTCACGTGATACAAATGTAATGACGTCGTGGGATTCCCCATATGTTGCAAGAAAAGCGCGAGCGAGCTGTGCGAGAAGTAGTCTTGACGACACGTTCGGAACTGAGCTTGATGCAACCTTGCCCCAACGGACGATGGGATCGCGTGGTGATAAAGTCACTTTCAAAGCACAGAACGATATGAACATAGAGCGAGAATACGGACAGAACGTTACAGTGAATATGGAAAACAACAACGGCTCACCCAAACAGATTAGTTTTAGCAGCTCGATCACCGACAGACGGGAGTCGTCACAACCAGCTAGAGTTGACAACATGATGCAGAGACAATTTTCTCGTCAAACTAGCAACCCAGATCGGGATGTGTGTGTAGTCTTACCGAAGCGGTTAAACAGTACAATTGACAATACGACTTCAGTGGAACCGCTGCTGAACCAGAAAAATTTACACCGTCAATTAAGTCAAAGTCCTGACAAAAGTAGAGACCGTTCTAAATACCCGACACCGTGCTTTATCAGACAGATAAGCAAAAACACTTCCAGAGTCATCAAAATAGTCGTGATCGTTTCATTACTTTTGAATTTACTCCTGATTCCGTCCCTTGCAACGGTGGTGACTCTTTTATTTCGGGACACGTGTAGTGCGCCCCCTACCCCCGGGCTTGACGTCACCGACTCTCTCTGTTTCCCGTGTGGGGAAGCGGGTATCCCGGGGGTGCCAGGAGCTCTCAGGACAAAGAACGGCTTCTGTTGTGGGTCAAAGAACGACGTCGATTTACAACGCATTCTCAGGCAGCGAGTTGTAAGTATAATTTGGTCATATAAATATTTTATTCAGTTCTAAAGCCTCAGTCTTATGATAACCTTGAAGATCCATGTTAAAAATTGTCTTCAGCCATGCTTGTCGTAACAAGTCAATGACGGGATCGGGTTGTTTGTCTCAATGACTTGGTTGATGCTTGTCATCGCATCTGTCTTGTATGGAGGGCGGTTGGGTAGCCTGTTATTTAAAGCTAAGACGCCGAAAACCAGGGTTCGATTCCCACATGGGTACAATACGTGAAGCCCATTTCTTGAATATTGCTAAAAAGGCGTAACACTAAAACTAACGTACTCATAGATCGATGGCAATCAATAAATCTGGTCCAGACATAATTATTTACAGATCGATATCATGTAGCGTTATCTTTTACAGAAACTGAAACACGGACAAATATTCTATTGATCCCATAGATATAGTCTCTCGTACAGACCCTGAAGCAAATATATCCAAAAAAGCCCACACAAGTCTAGAAAATTTGGCAAGTCTAGATTTCCTCAGCTTCAGGGCTCCTTTTCATTATATTTTATATTTTTTTACTATGAACTTTTTTCAGTAAAATATGTTCATTTCAGAGACTAGTTGTTAGTCTACCATAGATACTAAGTTCAAGTCTGTTGATATCTAGGGCTATAATTAAAAATAGCCTACGGAAGTTGTGTAAGGGAATTCCCCGGTGGATTCCGCAGCGTTGGATGGGCGATAGGTCACAGTTCAGCAAGGATAAGTTATGTGAGGGTCTAAAGTACAGGGAACACTTGTTCGTGCTCTGTCTGTTTTTCGAGGCCACGATTCCGGAAGTTGGGGTTTTCCAATCACAAACTGACGTATCATTTCTTCCGTGTATTCATCGTTACATGAAGTTTTGTAATGTTTTCATTATTTATTCAACACTAAACCTAATTTTTCAAGACGTTGGTTATAGGTTAAGTCTCAGGCAACATTCTAAGATCAAATACAAGTTAAAGTAATATTGTGGTTCGAGTTTGTTTTTATCACGAATTCAATTCCACTACCGTATTTTCTCGAATAAAAGCTGGAGTTTCGAATAAATGTTGGACTCTTTGATTGAACACAGGGTTGTTTCATTGAGTGAGTGAGTTTGGTTTTGCACCGCTTTTAGCAATATTCCAGCAATATCACAGCGGGGACATTAGAAATGGGATACAATGACGTGAACCAAGTCAGCGAGCCTGACCACACGATCCCGTTAATCAGCTCTTACCACAAGCATGGGTTACTGAAGACTAATTCTATCCCGGATCTTCACTTTATTGACACATGCCATCGTATCACAACTGTGTGGGTCGATGCTCATGCTGTTGATCACTGGACTGTCTGGTGCAGACTCGATTATTTACAGACCGCGACCATATCTAGCTGGAATATTTCTGAGTGCGGCATTAAACAACTCAAAACACTCTTTTATCAATACCTTCGGTTTGTAATTGAACTGACATATTTACGAATCCACAAGAATCCTCTGCAAAATTTTCATTCCGAATTTGTTTGCAGCTCCAATCCACCGCAGCGCTTGTCCATTCAAGAACTCCTTGCACTGCACAAGGAGGCCATGATGTCAAGAACAAAGGACCCACAAGAAAATATTTCAAGAAAACAGCGGCTCATCTGTTGGTTGACGTTAAGGCAACACAAACAGGTAATTGTTCAAACATTGCCTGTACTCGAAGAAACCTCAGACAAGTTAATTCTAAAGACGTATTACCAACGTTGTCATGTTAAGAATTTCACTGTTTTCTATGGGTGCTAAAATTTTAAGTTATTAACTGATATATTCCTAAATCCTCCCAATGAGGGTTAATAAACACATTGTCAAGTCAAAACATTGATTACACAACAGTCTCGTTTCCGCTGAGCTTAGTACAATCACCAGTCCAGAATTTTGAGACCAACTCATTCAACTGGATATATAAATATTAATCAGTATTATTTGATACATCTAATCACAACATATATTGCAACATTACGCTACTTATCCGAGCAAACGCGTGGTGCAGCGTGCTCTGACAAACGGAAATCTGGAAATCTCAAAACGAGGCTCGGCCGCGTGAAAGGTTTGGCGGCCTTGTACGGCCTTGATATTATATCAATCATTCTGTACGTTACAAAAATACACTTATTAACTGCAAAGAATTGTGAATCATTGTACGATCTCTTCAAACAGGGGCAGTCTGTGACGTCTTAGTTAAGGACTAAATTTAAAATTAAAATTCTTTTGTAAATGCCATTTTCTTATGAAACAAGAATTTGGACTTTCGTGTAACCATAGTTGTAGTGTCTCTTTTCACTTTCGCACGAGAAACGTCGGATCGGCTGACATGTAGGTCATTGTCTGAATTGGTTAATGAGGCGCATATGTTTCCCCTTGCATAGTCTCAGGAGAACAGCAAGATTTATGGATGTCAGCTTCTTTATTGTGAATAACACGACGTTTCGGAGTGTATCCTTACCCCTTCATCAGGTGAGTAAGGCAGTAAGCACCGATACGTCGTGTTATTCACAATAGAGAAGTTGACATCCATAACTCTTGCTTTTCTTTTGAAAATTCCACTTCTAAATGCCCTTCAAAGATTTGCATGGTCTCGTTTTTAAGAGTAGTTTTTAAACATTAAAATGATAATTAGAATACGTGTGCGACTTATATTGACCGCTTAAGGGTCGCCCGGCCTTCGAAATATCACCTAGGGTGTTAAACTGGGCCCCGTCTCTCACCGCACAAAACCCGCCCACAAAACTCGCAATCTCAAAAGGAGTGGCAAAACAGGTTCGGTATGAAAATGATTTTGAACAAATGGCTGGTTTTCCCGCCACGTGTGGGCTATTTACAGCTTTATTTGAAAAACCCACACGTAAACACGACCTCTCGACTTTCGTTGTATCATGTATGGTTTCACGAGAGACAGTTACCCACTCAAGCGTGAAACATTAAACTGGTCTTTGAAATCGTAGACGGCAATACTGCAGTTAGACGATATTTTTCATAAATTCTCCAACGAAGGACCGGGTTTCCTTCGATTTTTCCCCGTATGGTTAGAACTAGACTTGCACAAGTCTTTAAGGTAATAATTTATAGTATAAATTCTAATTTCTAAAAAAATGTAAATTACAGACTGGGGTCCTCTTATCTAGACTTGCCTCTTTACAGTATAGAATTGCTATACATACATGAACTCAGCACTCAGTACAGACTTGGAGTAAGGGTAGGGTGGAACATGCAAAACTGGTTTCAATTCTAAACTATCATTATTTTTTTCAGCGAAATCCATAAAATGGATGACGAAATCTTCAGGAGGTATAGCGTTCATCCAGGGGGGTCTGACAGTCAGGAATTCAACCATCCGGGTGAAGAAAGCCGGTATTTACCGGATCCATAGTCACTTCAGTTTCGACACCTTCACAAACGCATTGGGATATACAAGATACATACAGGACCACTTTATCTACAAACTTTCTTCTGGGGAAAAATCGATCATACATCTGGTGAAGACAGTGTTGGAGAAACGGAGGTACGAGTCGAGTGACGTCAGTGTTGGTGTCGTGAGTCTTCGTGATGGAGACGAGATCGGTGTGGGTATAAACAAGTTTCGGTACCTGTATAACATGGAGGTGGCTAACACGCTTGATATCGAAAAGATTGGATAGATCATGGGCGTTGTTTTGCTGGCGAAGCAAGTCTTTCTGACTATGAAAGATACTGAGAGTGAGGTGGGTTAACGTCGCTTTGAAGACTACCACATTGAGGTCACGACCCACTGAAACCCATGACATGATATGGTGCTGACAAACCATCTATAGAAATCATGTAGGATTCGATCCCGAACATGAAAATAACAAGACCTTCAACACAAGTGAGCTAGGTGTCACTGTGTGTCATGTGTCGGCGATACACTGTGGAGACAATCATGTGCCAGGTGTCACTGTGTCATGTGTCAGCGATACGCTGTGGAGACATCATGAGCCAGGTGTCACTGTGTGTCATGTGTCAGCGATACACTGTGGAGACAATCATGAGCCAGGTGTCATGTGTGTCATGTGTCGGCGATACACTGTGGAGACAATCATGAGCCAGGTGTCACTGTGTGTCATGTGTCAGCGATACGCTGTGGAGACAATCATGAGCCAGGTGTCATGTGTCGGTGATACACTGTGGAGACAATCATGAGCCAGGTGTCACTGTGTGTCATGTGTCAGCGATACGCTGTGGAGACAATCATGAGCCAGGTGTCATGTGTCGGTGATACACTGTGGAGACATTCTTGAGCCAGGTGTCATGTGTCAGCGATACGCTGTGGAGACAATCATGAGCCAGGTGTCATGTGTCGGTGATACACTGTGGAGACAATCATGAGCCAGGTGTCACTGTGTGTCATGAGCCAGGTGTCAATGTGTGTCATGTGTCGGTGAGGTGCTATAAAGACAATCATGAGCAACATTGTTGCGATCTAAAAGCACGGCCAGTCAGATGGCCATTTCGTCAATAACAAAGAAGACACAATTTATGGATCGCATCACAATTTATAATTAATACGTCACTATTACTGTAAATAAAAAAGTTCATGTCCATAAATTGTGTCTACCTTGATCTTTAATAATGTGATACTAATATCAAATGTATTAAATATATGGATAAAAATGAAATATATTCTCAAAAAGAATTGTTCAAAATAAATATATTTTTAAAAAGAATTGTTTGAAATACTGGAACTTATAGATTCCTTTCTTGCATACAACAAAGTTTGTTAAATTGAAAGTACTGGCTATGTCAGAACGACAATATTGTGTTTGTGTCGTGAGATGTGCACGCCTTTGTACATAGCGAGCGGGCAGCCGTCTTCAGTGACGTCACTATAGGTTGTGTATAAGGTCAACATGACACACATTTTCAATCGGATATTCTCGCTTATCTACAGTGACGGGTCGTGCGCAGACCGCTTGTCAATTGACGATAACAAGAGGAGCACACCAACTGAGAAACCAGTTAACAGAACAGTACTCCAAGATAGTGCGTCACGAGTTCTGTCCCCTGAATGTGTGACTTACCCGGGGCTTGTATATGTGATCGATGTTTGTGTTTTTTTGTTTTTAGTAAAATCATTTGAAGAAAGTATCGCTTTTTATCCAACTCAAACGAATTCTTTGAGGTAAAATTGCACAGAACAGAATACTGGAAAATAGTAATTGATTATCCGACAAGACAGATTCCACTGGTTGGTGTTAAAATGAAATAGTGACAGGTTGAGTGAGTGAGTTATTATTTAACGTCACATCGGCAATATTTCAGCTATATCGTGACGATTGTGGCAAACAGAGTAGGTGAAAATTATATGAATAATGAATCTACTGACCGTGGGCTGACAATTTCCACTTATGTTCAAACTATAAAGGGTTTAATTTCGTGCTCAAAATGCCTATACCAATGATAATAAAGTAGCAATCGCCGTTTTATTTATCACTTTTCAATAAATAGTGCATAAAGACGTACCATGTTGATTTCTTCATAATCGTTACATCATCATAATTATGTCATTTCAGGGTGTTAGTCAATAAGTTACCCTTCTACCTTTTAAAACAATTTTGAACCTGGCATGTCGAAGATGGCCGTACAGTTAGTAAACCCTACTTGTTACCAGGTAAGGGCCGTGATGTAAGGGATGATGTAAGCTCAAGTTACACACTCGCATGGTCCATGGGGAATGTTAAGTCTAGGAGTGAGAGGTCAGAAGTCTGTAGCTCCTCAGTAACCACATTTCATTCATGTACTGGCACTCTGCCATACCAGAAATAAGTCAACACCAAGTTTTATACTCACATAGGTTTACTCGATCCCTCTCGTCATTACAAGGTGACGTGGTCTGGACAGGATAGGGCAAGCTCAGCACCAGATGTGGAACTGATCGATCGCGATGCGAACCTTCTGCTGACTCTGCAACCTGCACCACGTTCTAGTGCTAACCCATCTTTTTAAGGTGTTCGAGCCTGCTCCACCCTTGTCACATGACCACATACAATCCCCGATTCGTTTATTACAATGGTCTCATGTCGTACCTATTCGTTTAAAGGTTACATCATCTCTTTCGGTCTCATGTGGTTAAAGCGTTGGCTCGTCACGCCGATGATCGGAGAATTACTGTAAACTCATCGGTGACTCCGCCGTTAATTGCTACTATTGCTAAAAGCGGCGTCTTTTCTCAGTTCTGTTACTGTTACTGACAGTTATCCTGTTCTCTATTCCTTAGTTTATTACCAAGCAGTACCAGCATTGATTCTATGACGAAATAACCGTAAGTCTCAATAATAGATTTGTGATACGTGTCTTGTATAACGGATGCAATTTTCACCGTATAACAGACACCACACAGCGGTGGGGTAGCCTAGTGGTTAAAGCGTTCGCTCGTCACACCGAAGACCAGGGTTCGATACCCCACATGGGTACAATGTGTGAAGCCCATTTCTGCTGTCCCCCGCCGTGATATTGCTGGAATTTTCCTAAAAAGCGGCGTAAAACTAAACTCACTCACTACACAGTGCAACCCCCAGATACGTGGACAAGAAATCCAAAGAAAGTTTAAGAAATACGATCAATTTGCAAAACATCATTATTTATAAATGCCCCCTTGCTCATGATGAAACTCGCTCGCTTCCGCAGCAATCACATCGACCCAGTTAACAGGGGTATTTCCATTCTATGTTTTATAACACATAGGGCGAGGTTTCCAGGAACAACTATTTTGCTATGCCTCAGGCATACAGTGTCACAGACCTGTGTGCGGTGGCCTTGGTACCCCGAGACATTAATCTGTCTCTTTGAATGCCGTTTAGACCGCAGAATTCCAGCTTTGTCACGGCGGCCTGTCCATAATCAGGACCAGACAAATCAGTGACTAAAAGCACGAATAACGACCCCCATCATGACAAAGTTGTGAATGGTACCGCCACGTGTAGGCTATACATAGCCTTGAAAAACCCATACGTCACCATGATCTAGCCATGGTGGGTGGGGCGGCTGTAGTTTAGTACATAGAAGAAATATTATTAAATTATGCTTAAACAATTCGGGGGAGGGGGGTCATTGATTTTGTACATGATATGCAGGAGGGAGGGGTGGGGTGGGGTGTCACTTACTTTGTACATACATGTATTGTACACGTTTCACCATGAATAAATAAATAAACAATAAACAATAAGTCAACAACCACAGTCACTCACGCTGATTACGAAGACATATGTGCTTGTCACATTGGCAGATTCAAATTTGTGGTTCATAAAGTTCATATTTTACAAGGGTGTCGAGGTAATCATCGATCTCTCTTTCAACTCGCTGCTTATTCCTAAAACAATATTTACATCATTGTTAAACTTGACCTCACATGTGGGTTGTAAATACCATTTCTGACGGGCTCTTACCACAATGTGTCCTCTACTAGGAGATAACTGTAACCGATTACTGTCACGTCTTATTTAAAGCTCCCAGCGTTTGTGTATCGCCCGAATACTTCCTTTAAGACATAGCTAATCCTGAATAATATATCTGTCCAAGTACTTGCAAGAATGAGAAGGACAGTAACATTTCAACGGTTATTGAATATGACCACGTTATGTCAATTACAAGAGAGATTAAAAGATTCATGGGTGTACTTTTAGAAAAATAACAACCAACTCGTAGTAGTAGTAGTAGTAGTAGCAGTAGTAGCTGCAGTAGTAGTATTTTTGTTTTTGTTTGTTGTTTCACATCAATATTTCAGCTATATGGCAGCGGTCTGTAAATAACTGAATCTGGACCAGACAATTCAGTGATCAACAGCATGAGAATGGATCTACGCTATTTGGATACGATGACATGCGTTAACATACTAGTAGTCACCGAGCCTGACCACCTGATCCCATTAGTCGCCTCTCATGGAAAGCATTGGTGACTGAAGACCAATTCTAACCCGGATCTTCACGGGTTTATTCAAAATAAATTCTAATTAGGAAGATGTAATTAGGAAACTTGATATTTCCTATGAGGAAACACCAAAGGGAAATAATTCTAGTAGTAGTGGCAGATATTAGTTTCCGCCACAGGTCGTCGTGTCTATGCGAGGAGTACATTTGTTTACACAAATGTGTAAAAATTTGAGATGACCCCCGACTCGAAATGCTTTACAATACATTGTACTGCGAAGCATTTCGAGTCGGGAGTCATCCCAAATTTTTACATATTTTTTAAACAAATTTAATCTTCTCAAAGACACGAGGACCTGTGGTTTCAGCAGCAGAAATAGAGCAGTAGTAGAAGTTATAAATGTACACATCGTAAACATGCATTTAAGTATCTTCCGCAATCTTCTCGTTTAATGAGCTGGAGAGACAGGTTAGCCCTCCCACATATTCAGACTCACTTCGATCTTCGGAATGTACAGTCTCCTTAATTAAACACCTGGTGATTTATCCTTGTCGACAACAGTGAGGCTGGAAATAGATCTGACTGTCTCCGAGTCAGTGTCACAAACAACTAGAAGAGTTGGACGTTCTATTATATTAACTCATGTGGTACTCGTCATTCAGCCATGGGACACGCTTGATGGGTCAGTGGGTGTGACACTGTGAGAAAGGGTGACTAGGGAATGTGGGTGTGACACTGTGAGACAGGGTGACTAGGGAATGTGGGTGTGACACTGTGAGACAAGGGTGACTAGGGAATGTGGGTGTGGGAAAAGAAGATGGGATGTTAGGGACCGTTCATAAGTTTTGGCGTGTGTGTGTGTGCGTGCGTGTGCGTGCATGTTAGAGCAGAGGGAGAAGTGGGGGGTTGGGGGTGTGATGATGGTCATTTAAGGGAGGTCACCCATTTTGTTCTGGGGAGGTGGGGGGTGTCATCAGTTTTGTACACATGTACTAGGGAGTCAGCAATTTTGTATATATTGATATTTTAAAAGTTTGCTTAGAAATTATGGAGAGGGAGGTAATTGAGCTTGTACATGACATGCAGGGGAATTGGGGTCACTTGCTTTGTGCATAAATTTTAGGAGGGGGCATTCACATTGAACATGCTTCACCATAAATATCATCTTTCACCCTAGCCAAAAATGATGAATGGTCCCTTAGTTGGGTGAGTTCTATGGAGATGGAAGGTGGTCGGTAAGAGGGGCGTGGTATGGAAGGGTGGGTCGAACAGGTCCCCACTAGCCCATGTCTGTCTCTCGATGGTGAGTCCGGGATATAACAGGTCCCCAATAACCCATGTCTGTCTCTCCATGGTGAGTCTGGGATATAACAGGTCCCCAATAACCCATGTCTGTCTCTCCATGGTGAGTCCGGGATATAACAGGTAATAACAATGGTGAGTCCGGGATATAACAGGTAACCAATACCCAATGTCTGTCTCTCCATGGTGAGTCCGGGATACAACAAGTCCCCAATACTCCATGTCTGTCTCTCCATGGTGAGTCAGGGATATAACAAGTCCCCAATACCCCATGTGTTTCTCTCCATGGTGTGTCCTGGATATAACAGGTCGCCAATACCCCATTTCTGTCTCTCCATGGTGAGTCCGGGATATAACAGGTGCCCAATAACCCATGTCAGTCTCTCCATGGTGAGTCCGGGATATAACAGGACGCCAGTACCCCATTTCTGTTTCTCCATGGTGAGTCTGGGATATAACAGGTCGCCAATACCCCATTTCTGTCTCTCCTTGGTGAGTCTCGGATATAACAGGTCGCCAATACCCAATGTCTGTCTCTCCATGGTGAGTCCTGGATATAACAGGTCCCCAATACCCCATTTCTGTCTCTCCATGGTGAGTCTGGGATATAACAGGTCCCCAATACCCAATGTCTGTCTCTCCATGGTGAGTGCGGGATATAACAGGTTGCCAATACCCCATTTCTGTCTCTCCATGGTTTAGTCCGGGATAAAACAGGTCGCCAATACCCCATTTGTCTCTCCATGGTTGGTCCGGGATATAACAGGTCGCCAATACCCCAATATCTGTCTCTCCATGGTGAGTGCGGGACATAACAGGACGCCAATACCCCATTTCTGTCTCTCCATGGTGAGTGCGGGATATAACAGGTTCCCAATACCCCATTTCTGTCTCTCCATGGTTGGTCCGGGATAAA